CTGCATCAGGGCAGGTTTAGGTTGGATCTCGCCTCCTCACGGGGAGGGTGCTCAGGCACTGGGATGCACTGCCCTGGGAAGTGGTGGAGTCACCGTCCCTGGAGGTGTTTAAGGAGAGGCTGGATGTGGCACTCAGTGCTGTGGTCTAGCCTTTGCGATGGTGTTGAGTCATAGGCTGGGCTTGATGATCTCAGAGGTCTTTTCCAGCCTCAACAATTTTGTGATTCTCTTTCAGAATAACAACAAATAAAGTACTATCAGCCTTTATTCCCTTAAAAAAAGGACATATGTTGCAGCAGTATTTTCTTCAGTATTCACTTACTTATTAGGCTTTCATTATTTTTGCCATGTTAACATGAGATTAAACCAAGTCCAGTGAAGCTGTGCATTTCTGACACTGTAAGTGCTGATTGGTTTAGACTTTTTTTTACTGGTTTGATGTTTTGTGAAACAACTTCAAATGCAAAAGATGTGAAGCAATTTTCACAAGTGTGCATAAAATGCCTTCTTTGTATGTACTTTCATTTTTTTTCACACTTAAAAAGCACGGATTTGCAGTATCAGTCGAGTAATGCATTAACTTGATCCAAGAGTGATAATTTCACAGCTTTTTTCAAGGTAGATAAAATATCAAGAAGGGTATCGTGGAGAGGACGAATGTATAAATTCACCTAACTGTATTGTATGCTTTATGAAGACACAAAAAATTAGGAATAACCTTGAGATTAATTGAAAGCAAAAATATAAGCCATGAAGTGAAACACCATATGATAACTCTGGTTTATCAGAACAATCAAAGGAGGTGGAATCTTAAATCTGTAAAAGAAACATTGTGGAAACTGCAGCCCTTTGATCTAAGTTCTATACATTTAAAGACAATTCCAGATCCATTGTGGTAGAATACTGTTTTCTGTTGTCCTGGCTATGAACTAGACGGTCTGTTTAACAGTATATCCAGTATTTTGTCTGTTCAGATGCATCTTTACTCCTTTTGTTGCTTTTTTTTAAAGTTTATTTTATTTTACTAATTGTGGTTTTTTTTGTTTTCACATTCTCTGACATCTTTAGTAACTTTTTCTTTCTTCATAACACAGAGTGAAGGTTGGGGAGAGGAAGCAAAGACAAAATTTTTAGAAATGGTAAATAATAAAGCTGTTTCAATGACTGTATTTAGAGAAGAGGATGGTGTTCTCATTGTGGATTTGAGAAAACCTCCATTTAATAAAATAAGCAATAACATGCCAGTGTCTCTCAAGGATGCTTTAGTTTTTTTAGACTTGGCAAGGTATGTATTTTCCTTTAGTTTATGTAACTATGTCATAAATTATAACAACATAATACCTAGAAAATGCAGCTTACCAAGCAAGTTGGTTTTGCAGTGTATGATATATATCGTGTGATGTGCTAATCTTCAGCAGTATCTGTTGATTCCCTTTTTTCACCCTCACTGATGAGCACCGTGGCATACTCAATCTGCGCTAGTCAGGGCTTTATTTAGGTAATGAATGTTATTTTAGAAAAAGGCAAAATGTTATATTTCTGTACAAGTTTGAATAGTAAGGGGGGGAAAGGAGAAGCCCATAGTGTTTACCACAGACAAAAAATCATCAAGAAACCAGCCCCACATCTGTTTGATTTGGCTCCTAAGCAATGACAGGCTGGGCAGCACTTCAGAACCAGTGGCATGGTGTGACGCGTAGAGCAAAATGCGTAGGAGAAACAAAAACAGGACGTAAGGGGGAGCTTGATCTTGGCAAGGAGAGAGAGAACGACGTGAGCATTTCGGTGCTTGGGTGCAGGGATACGGCATGGAGATCTGTGGGAAATTACAGTTCATTTTGCTGCACACAGAGGTCTCTTTGTATTTAAGCATAATGAGTTGTGGTGAGAACAGTGGGAGATAATTTTTTTTTTTTTTTTTTTACTGCCTCTCTATTCCTAAATAAGGAAAAGGAAATCTTAAAAGAAACTGATTTTGTTAATGTAAAGGATTCTAGCCTTTTAAATTGTTTAAAAAAACAAAGTAAATGTTAAAAAAAAAAATCCCAACTAACAAAATCTTTTTAGGAACCAGCTGCCATATATCACTTGTCATAATGTTAGACTTGTGACAGGAGGAGGATTAGAGAGAATTGGCTGCACCAACTGCAAGAAGGAAAGTTCAAGCTATTCATACAAACATGAATCAAGCTATTTTTATAAGACCGTTTTGCATTTTTATAGGGAAACTTGGTATCTGAATATAAAAGGGTCTCTTTTCAGTTAATTTTTGATGGAATTTATTCACAATTTCATTTTGTTTACCTTAGGTTTAGATCACAGCTTCCTGGTCAGCTGGAAAAGAAAACCATCTTGCAATATAGTCCGCATAAGATGCCACAAGAAAGAGAAGTCTCTGTCATAGTTTGTCACGTTAATAGTCCAAGTGATTTCTATCTCCAGTTGGTAAGCATGGAAATGAAATCTATTTAAGAGTTAGCTGTTTGGGTTTTTTTTTAGTTTTGTTACACAGTTAATTCCTACGTGGTTATGTAGTGTTTTACTGTTTAAAGTGTTGATTGAACAAGGCAATATTCAACAATTGTTAGACTTTTTAATTCACTTTACATATTCATAATCACTGTTTAATTTTGGGGGGAAGACTAGGAAGTACGCTATGAGGAAAAAAATGTCCCTTAAAAGAGAAAAAATACTTTTTTTTTTTTTCCCCCCACCTAAAAGAACAGCTAGTGTGTATGTATGTTTTGTTTTTCTTATTTTAGAGAAATAGCCAGGATTTCTTCGCTCTTTCAAAGAAGATTCAGGAGGAGTATAAGCATGAGTACGGGAAAAACTTGGAAATTGTCTGCCCAATTGAAGGCCAAGCCTGTATTGCAAAACAAGAAGATGGAAGTTGGTGCAGAGCACAGATTATAGGTGAAGTATTAATTCTTTCACTCTAATGCTAGGCTGCAAAATCACAGAATCACGAACTGTTAGGGGTTGGAATGGACCTGCCAGAGCAGGTTCTCCTAGAGCAGGCTGCGCAGGATGGCGTCCAGGCAGGTTTTTAGTGTCTCCAGAGATGGAGACTCTGGGCAGCCCGTTCCAGTGCTCTGCCACTCTCAGAGAGTTTCTCCTCGCGTTTAGCTGTAACTGCCTGTGTTCAGCTTTGTGTCTGTTACCTTTTGTCTTGTCACTGGGCACCACTGAGAAGAGTCTGGCCCCATCTCCCTGGCACCTTTTAAGTATTTACAAGCCTTGATGAGATCCCCTCAGTCTTCTCCAGACTAAAACGCCCCAAGTTTCCCAGCCTTTCTTTCTAAGAGAGATGTTCTAGTCCCCTCATCATCTTAGTGACTGTGTGCTGGACTCTCTCCAGCACTTCCATGTCCTTCTTGAACTGCAGAGCCCAGAACTGGGCACAGCACTCCAGATGTGGCCTCAGCAGGGCAGAGCAGCGGGGGAGGATGACCTTGCTTGACCTGCTGGCCACACCCCTAACGCACCACAGGATGCCACTGGTACTAGGTCAGACCCACACACTGGGTAGGAATAGTAACAAATTACCGTTATTTTTATTAGATATTCTAAGAGGTAGTCAGTAGTACTAAATTATGTTATATTCTTTTGCTATTAATGGAGTGTTTTATACTCTTCTTTTAATGAAGTGATATTTCATTTTCTATGTATTACTGAAATATGATTACATAATTATTTTTAATAACGTTTCACTCTGCTATTACAGTTTACACTACAGATTTGTCTATTACAGCCACCCATGATACCATTACAGCCAAGTAACTAGTGTGGGTTAATAATTCTCCATAGTCATTCCGAAGGGAATAGAGGGGGTTTGCTTGTGCTGGCCTCTGTGTTGCCTGTCAGGGCAGCGCAGCACAGCTTTATGCTGGTCTGCTTGACGTGTATTTAACGTCTCATAAATATACGTAGTATATCATAAAACAATTTGGTAGAAGGGGACCAAAATGCTAACTGTCATTTCGTGAACGCAAAAGAGCTGCCTCTTAAAGAATACAGTTTTCCAATTGGGTTAGTGAACATTTGAAAATGTGATATTTTATGATTGTATGATGTAAATGTGGATTTTGGTCTGAAAATCTTGTGCTTTAACCTGTATCAGATACTCATTTTTTATTTTAATAACCTGAGTTGTTTTTCTTGCAGGGCTGCCAAGTTATGAAGAAGTTACCATAAAATATGTTGACTTTGGCAGTGTTGCTAACGTAACTCTTGAAGATATACGCAGAATAAAAAGGAAGTTTCTGAGCCTTCCAGAACAGGTAAATTAGTGCTTGACTGGATTAAATACTAAAAATTAATAGGATCTCAGTGGATAGAAGGGAGAAGAGAGGGTTGCTCACATTTGGAATTCTTTTCATAAGAATTTGTGACATAACTTTAGTATGTTTTGGGTGCACACTGAAAAATCTTACCTTTTTTTGTATAATTCAGTTTTAAATTAAATCTAATGGAATTTTGTAGTGAGAAGGTGTATGTGCATTGTGTGCGTATTTAACCTTCTTTTACTCAATAGTAAACTGAGTTAATCTTTGCTAATTTCTTTTCTTAAAATTACAGGTTTGTTTGGTTTAGGGCAGTTAAAGTTCAGCATTTTCCTCGCTTTTGGTGTTGTAGGAGTTTCCCCCTTTTGACAAAGAGAAAAACTCAGAGAGAAAGGAAACAACAAAGTATTCCTGTCCCTTTGAGCATAAAGGAGAAGAGACTAAAGAGTTAGGGAATACAGATGGGTATATGACCACTAGAGAATGATCTAAAGAAATTTGAACTCATCAATTCCATTTGGATTTCAGTGGTTTTATGCCATATGTAGGTTATGGTGAAACACTGGCAACATGTTTACACTTGAAATTTGCCTAAGAAAAAACAAGTTCCTGTTGCTGTTTTTAATGCAAGCTTGGCAAACTTTGGTCTGCTTATGTGCTTTGAATCTTCTCTACTTATAAAAAAACAATTTTTAGGAATTTAAAATTCTTTGAAACATTGATGAACACAAGATTGAAAAATGAAGCGTTTTGAAGGTGAGAGTATCAGAAGCGAGGTTGCTTGTGCAGGATTATCCTGTTGCATGTAGGCAGCGGTGAGGCTTCACATACTGGGATCACATGTTGCATTGCCTCAGATGTAAGTTGGTTGTTTAAGAGATTGAAATTAGGCTGTTAAAAGAGAAGTCAAACCTTTTTCAGCCTGTTAGTACAGTTTCCAGGCATTTTAATGGACTTAGGTGGTGCAAAAATCTCAGCCAAAACTGAAAGGAGTAGCGCTTAAGGTGATTTTAGTTTTATAATCCAGAGCTCTTTCTTTTAATGGTTGTTTAACCTGTTAGTCAGTCTTATTTTCATATTCCTGACTGCATGTATCCTAAGGATATCTGCGCAAAACATTTTTATTTCTACAATCTGCATTAGTTTCTCTCCCTTCTCCCTTACCTGTGTGCAATAAACAAGAAAGAGGAAACAAAAACATTCATAGTAAATTTAAAATTAAGCCATATTGTAACTACCAAAGGTTGCAATAAAGGTGCTAAACAAAAATTCTTTTAATCGAAGTACTTCATCTCGCATAATTTCCTGGTTGTCTCTTAAATACCTTTCAGAAGTCTGGTAGGACTTTGCTGGAGTAGGTACTGTGGTGTCTCTGTGCTTAGTCCGTCAGGCTTCTACAGCATCACGTTAATCTTAGACATTTTGAGGCTGGGTTATTACACAATAAGCAAAACGGGATAAAGGCTTTCCTTACCACCTCTCTGCAGTAATCTTGACTGATCTCTGCGCCAGTTCTGTGCCCAACCATAAAGGGAGAAATAAGCTCTCTCTATTTCAGCAAGTAGTGGATTGAATTTGAGGTTCGTGCTCAACTGCTAGTGTGGGGGATGAGGATTGTCTTGAAGCGAATAATGGTGATCTGGAACCAGAAACCAAGCTCACGTGGTCTTACGTGGGTCCATAGCAAAGGCTGTGCTTTGGCTGTAGTGAGCTGGTCTTGCTGTGTGATGGTAGACACATAACCTGAGTTATTCTTCAGGCAATCAGGTGCAGACTGGCTTGCATTGAGCCTTACAAAGGGGCTGCTGAGTGGAACAAAGAAGCCAAGGAAAGATTTAAACAAATAACTGAAGATAAACTTATGCTGTGTACAGTTTTTGGTAAGTTATCAAGAGTCTATTAATTTCTGTTTAAACACTCTTAAATTGACTCAAATGTAGAATCGTACACTTCCATATTTTAAATAGTGTTTATTTGAAATGCTTATGTTCATATGTGCCTGGAGTGAGAAGATCTAAACATGAACTAATGGGAGGAGGCATAACAAATGTAATTTCTGACAGAAGCCCTGTTCATGTCTTCTCTTACAGACCACACCAGCATTAAGTGATAAAAGTGTCCTGGTTTTTTAAGATGGGCTAGTTCTCAAAAGTACTAGCTATCCTTCACTCTTACTGACTTTATCAGTAGCTCAAAGTGTGATTGCTGCTGCCCTAAAACACCACAGAGAAACAAATAAAAAGAATTTCAGAAAACACATCTATGCCTTAGTAGGATTTTTCTCAATGTCATTTATTGTTAATTTGCAGCTAGTTGTTTTTCAACACCTGTGGAATGGTGGTTTGGAACCCATCTAATAAATGAAATTATGTGTAGCAGTTAGGTTCTTTGTAAAAAAAAAATAATTTGTAATTATTGTTGTATTTTAAGTTAATTTTACCTGTGCAAAGCTGAGGCTGTACATACTGTTGATGTTCAGAGTCATTATTTTACAAATCTAATGTGATTTTACAAAATTCTGTCTTCTAATACCGTTTGCTGTGCCTCCAAAGCCATAGATAGTCTTTGTAATGTCACTAATGGGCACTAATTATGTTTATACTATTCATTCACAGAAATTTTAGACAATAACATCCTATCTGTTGAACTCTTGGGCTCCTCTGCTCTTCATGGAAGAAACTTCAGTATTAACTGCCAGCTAGTTGAAGAAAACCTAGCATCCTACGTATCTGGGTGAGTACACTGTGCATATCCTAAAGTATTTGGGAATACTGAATTTGGGTAGCAAAATTACTGAGTTTAGTATGTCATCTCTAGTGGCTGGAACTTACCACATTTTGGATAAATTCATTATAAATCACCTTCATTAACTGATACAAGTTAGAGAAAGAGTCTAGCTACAGTTTGGCGTAGTTGAATTCTCAAACTAAATCTTGACGGACATAATGTTTTGAAATTTTAATTTATTCAAAATTTGGAGATGAAATGTTTGCATCATACTTGGAATGAGTGTCTTAAGCACCAAATCTTCCTAAAGTGGTTGTCGTTAAGGTTCCCATTCCCTTGTAGTAAGAAAAGAAACACTGCTTTTGTGTGTTTAACCTAGACCTAAGGTAAGTCATTTCTTTGGAAAGTCTGTAGCTTGTAAGACAAATACTCAGATAACCAGCTGTGACAGCAACAGAATGAATGAATGGTGAGGCCTACTGGGGTGAGATAAAGCTAATAAGGAGATAAATGTTGCATTTAATTTGTTGTCTTTTTAAAAAGATAAGCCATGAGCTGTCCTTGTCAAAACAAGTAATCACTCAGTTTTTGAATACTGATGAAAATAAAAAGATTGTTAGATTCCAAAAGGGAATTCCTGGATTTGCTTTTTTCAGGAGGAAGCAAGTAAGTGGATTTTCATCTCTTAGCTCAGAAATACAACAAAATCCTAGTAACACTTGTACTGGTCACAGTGTTTGGTAGGATTTTTGTAAAGTTAAGTGGCTTTATTTAAACTTGAACAGCTGAATTACTTTGTCACTGTCACTAGGGTATTTTGTTGTGTTCCAGCTATACTTAAATGCTCTCTTGTGACTTGCGGAGGAGTGGGAATATTGCCGATAGCTTTACTAGTTTGGATTTTTTTGTCGCTCGCTCAGTCCCCATTCTTTAGTTGGGCTGCAGAGAGAAAACAGAAGAAACAGGAGCGGGAAAACTCAATGGGTCAAAATAAAGACAGGACAATGACTTACCAAGCACTATTGTGGGCAAAACAAACTTAATTTATTGCTAATTAGCATAAATACTAATATTGTTTCAGACACTGGGACAGGAAAGACATTTTCAACACCTTCTGCCTTACCCAGGCTCAAGTTGACTACAAGCAGCCCTCTTTCCCCTCCTACTCCTCACAGCGAGGCAGCGAGCAGTGCAGAGCCTTGGGGTCAGGGCGCTGCTGTTTCTCCCTGCTGCTGCTTCTTGCTCTTCTCTTCTGTGCTCCAGCGTGAAGCCTCCACAGGCCTCAGTCCCCTCAGGAGCATGCCTTTTCCCCCACCACATACCTTCTGCTCTTCCAACCTTGGTGTTCCCTTTATTATTTCCCTTCTGTTCCCTCCTCCCTCTCCCTGGTGTTTTCTGCCCTTCGTTAAATTAGTGGTGTCAAGAGCTTTGCTGAAGGGCTCAGCCATGTCCTGTGGAGGGTCTGTCGCAGAGGTGGTTGAAGTGAGCTGTGTCCACCACGGGGCAGCACCTGGTCTCTTCTTGCAAGAGGTCACCCCAGCAGCTGCTCTCCCCACCTGCCAGTCCCTTGCCATCAAGTGCATCACCCAGTGCATCAGGGCTCCCAGTTAGAACCTTGTTTGCCCTTGGGGGGAGAGGGAGAGTGAAGGGGGTTGGCTTGAGGGGGGTTGTGTTGCAATGTTTTCCAGTGCCTGTAGGTCTCCAGCCCTCCAGAGCTCACACTTTGTCACTGAATTTCTCGTTTTTGAAGATGACTGGCTGCAAAACGGCAAGAGACTGCTGCATAATTCAAACTTACTCTGGGTCGTTTGGAAACACATTTGGGTCATGGTTACTGTTCCATGTTTAATGCTGTTGAGGTGTACACAGGCCAGCTCCAAACAAGCGTTAAGACAATACAAGCAGGAGAGCACAGCACTGCATTGAAACTGCCTTGCTGACAAGCAAACATGAGTAGCCTTACTCTTCTGTTGGGATAGGAAGTAGCCCATACAGAATTCCAGGAAGAAATGTTTGAGTCTGAAGTTCATCTTAAACTGACATATTTTCTGATTGATCTGTAATGCTAATGCTGTACAGGTGTTTAATTAGAGAGGAGGTTTAAGAAATGTAACATATATTTCACTTGGGAGAACACTCTGTGACAGGTTGTGTCCATCCATTTCATAGTTCAGACTAGTTGTGTGCAAGGTAAGTGTATTTCTCGTCTGTGGTGTTCATTTCTTCCCTGGTTCTAGAAGTTAGCTGCTTTACCCAGCAGTTTCCAAATAGCTGCATCAGGAAGGTTTGCATGAATAATTGTGTAGCAGCATCTAGTGGATCATTCAGTACTTCACAGAATTTTCTCTCTGACAGAGCAATTTGTTTCCTTCCTGCGAAGGAAAAGACAGGGGGTAGACCTCTGAAAACCAAAAAGAGTTTCTTCCTGGAGGCCTAGAAATGACCAGCAGTTAAACTCATGCTTGCTGTCTCCTTTAGTCAGTGATGTTTACAAGAAGCCAGTTGTTTTGCACTAATCCGAAATACTTACCAGCCAACTCTAGATTGAGTTAGGCTTTATCCAGTTCACACAATTTAAACAAGTTTTCATCAAGATATTACCATGACCATACTTAATTCAGTGCTCTACTTTGGAAAACACTAGCACCGGTTGTGTTGTATTTGTATCCTCAGGAAAGGCTGGAAGGGTGACTGTTTCACTGACGTTAGTATTCTTACTTCTGAAAGGAATATTTACGTGTCTCAGAAGTTTTGCATGCTGCACCTTTCACCCAGAAGCAACACTGATTTCTATAAGCATGATATTAGTTATATGTCTTTTAAGCCAGATAGAGACATTAATGTTTAGCAGCCCGTTCTGTCAGGCTTGCTTTTTTGCTGGCACGTTATACTGCATATTGCTTTCATCTGTCAGCAGAATGTGCAAGGATAGCTTCTGAAGGAGAATAAAAAGAAGCTACTATCATGAGCGTTTCAGAAGTACCATTTTGTCTTTTGCTGGGAATTTTGTTTTGCTTTTCTGAGTTACTCTTCACTCTTCTTGTTGATTGATTTCCTGTCATGTTAAACTGTGATTATTGAGCTCTTTTTGTTAAAAATGTGCTTAAACTTTCCATTCTAATTACCTTTATGTTCTTCACAGGCATACTCTAAGTACTGCTGTAAGGCCCAATGAAATATGGGATTTACCTCTAGAAGTTCCTGAAACCTTGGAATCTTTAAATCCCATAGACTTGGAATCTGTAGATGAAGGAGATTTCAAATCCCTTTCTCAGAAAGAGCTACAAGCAACAGTTAGTCATGTTGTATCTCCTAGTAAAATTTTTATACGATGGCTCTCATCAGAATGTATACTGAAAAGGTACTAAAATTCAAGGATCTTTTCTCAAGGTGTTCTTTCTACAGACCAGCAAAGTACAGTTAGAACAAACTGGTGAGGGTTGCATTTGGCACTGGATGTTCTTCTGAGTGCTGTTGACTTATCTTGCTTTGTTGAGGAAAGTATGGGAATAGAAGACACGTTGACACGATGTTGTGGTTTACTGAATATTTTTGATTCCAAATGAAGTGCATGATCTAACTCTATTTCAGATCAGTTTTAAGGTAGCAAATACTGGGGCCTGATGAATGGAACACTGTCCAGAAAGATTAAATCTTTCTGCTCCTTTTCTCCTCCTCATTCCTTCATTAGAGATCTTGTTAAATAGTACTGACATCCTAAGTCATAGAATTTCAGTCAAGTTATTTCTTTCAGTGTGATTCTGATATGCTGCTAGGAAATTTTGAATACAATTTGTGGACATAGTATATCAACCTTACTTTGGTAGATATTTAGGTAATACATAGGTAATAGTTTGAAGACAGCTAAATGGAAATATCATTGCTTAGTTAAAGTTATGTATTTTCTGCCTCTCTTTCTTCTTTCTCCTTTCTTTCATGTTTTTGCCTTCTAGAATCCCACTGAATTAGTTATGACACTAATGAGTACCACACTCTCAAGTTGTTTAGAGTATTGTATCTTTCAAAAAGTGCTATACAGAAGCTTCAGTATCACTCAGGTTAATTCAGTTAAGAAAGCATGATAGTTTTATAAAATTCTAATCAAATTGCATGTATTTTGAAACTCCATTTCAGGTATTTCTAGCGTGTTAGGAAAAATGCCTTTGGTACTCAGTGTCTGTACTGTCAGCTACTTAAGCTGTAATTGACTAAGTAAACCCTTCATTCATTGGATCACTAGAAAACTGGGTTTTTTGGATGTTAGTTTACAGGAGAAGATGGCTACCATCTACAAAGAATCCCAGCCACAGACAGTAAAGTGGGAGAGTAGTATGCACTGTGCTGTTTATCTACAAGATTTGAAACAGTGGCAAAGAGGTTGCATCAGCAGGACTGTGTCTGAAACAAGTGCAGAGGTAAGTAAGAGGGTTCATACTTTGATTTCTGCAGTTTGAAATTATTCATTGATTCAAATAATGTCAATTCTTGTTTCTTCCTTATGTGTTAATATTTTCACATACAGCCTTTTGCTTTTGTCAAGAGTTTTAATTTAGATTGTACGTTGCTGCAAATAAGATTACTGTCACTTCAAAGCTCAGCTCAGATGCCTTTAGTAGGGAACCTGGTAGTTGAGGAGGACTCACAAGGCTGGCTCTGTGTATGTTTACACTTCACTTTCCAATCTGGCCTAGATTATGAATCTGTAACCTCTCAGTTTAGTTTAGATTCCAGAAGCTGTGTGAACCTCGGGGTTCACAGTTGAGCTGAGTGCAACCCTGCACATCATCATTCCATTACTTGAAGCATAAGCCGGTGGTAATGCAACGTGCCATGTAGGCATAAGAGTGACCACGGCAACTTCTCCCACAGTGCTGCTGTATTTTGTTGCACTCCTTTGAAAAGAGTGAGAAGCATTAGAAGAGACATTTGTTGAATAGAGCACTACTTGCCTCAATATGAGTGGCTTTTTAATCATACAAACAATCCAGGACTAGATTACTGTTGGTTCTCTCCACCGTGCCTGTGGGCCTCATTAGCAGGAAGCAGAAATGACACTTCCATACTTCTGGTTTGCATCATCTGCTTTCTAAGGCTAAGAATCCACAAACAGCTATTTTTCCATGTCAGAATAAAAAACAAGTGGTGGAGGGGAACTATTTCAGCATTCCTAGGTTTACAAATTTAAAGGCGCCAGCATAACTGAAGCACAAGAAAAGAAATTTTCTTATTTGAGTAAGAGCCTCTGTCAAATTGTTTGACCCCTTTTGAGTGTATTTGTGTGTTTCGTCATGTCGGTGCACTGTGGTGCTCATTTGTTTGTGTGATGGAGTACTTCGGGGCAAAAGCCATTCCTTGAATCCTGGGAATGTTTTGTTTGAATTTTGTTTACTTACTCACACACATTTTGAGTAATAGTTCCTTATAGGTAACACTAAGCGAGGTGGTTTCTTTTCTTGTTTTATTTTGTTTCTTGTCTGTGACAGGTAATACTTTATGATTCTGGAGCTGAAGAAACAGTGGATATCAGCTGTCTAAGAGAACTTGAGGAAAATATGAAGACAATTAGGATATTAGCAGTAGAATGTTCCTTGACAGATCTAAGGTAGCCTTTTGCTTCTACTAGAGAGCAGTATTAAAAAACTAATAATGATATAACATTTTCCTGTGTTAGCACTGACTATCTGAGCTATGAAGGAAAGAATATTTATAGTATGAATTATAAAACATTGGGCAGATGACAGAGATTTTTACAGAGATTTTTATTATTTCACTGAACACTTTTTTCCTTGGCCTAAAATTTGAAATGAATCAATCTCCTGAAAATAGGAGATCTCTCTTACTTGTTTGCATGTTGTCTATAATGTGAAGAAAAAATAACCATGTTTGCAATACTCATTTTCTGAATGAATATAAAAACCTCATTTACAGATGAAGTATGGATTTTCTTTTGTTCTGTTGGGATAGATGTTACACTTTTGGAACTTCTAATCCTCCTTGTTCTGGGATAATGCTTTTTGATTCTTCCTGTCATGTAGATCCAAAGATGAATAACCATTTCTTTTTACTGTTAACTGTAATGGAGATTGTCTCTTTTCCCTGACAACCCTTAGTAAAGGGAAGGGTTTGTGGTTAAGCTTCGGAGATGCCAAATTCTGTACTAAAGGACATAATTTGTTCCATGTTAGACCAACAGGTGGAAGCACGCAGTGGACATCGACAGTCTGCGAGTTTTTATCATATTACCTAACAGAGGCACAAGTAAAAATAATCATACAGGTTTGTAATCAAAACCAGTGGTATTTGTAATTTCTGTTAGGTTGTCTGCTAATTTAATTTTTTTCTTAGTATTTTCACTCTTCAGAGGTTCAGAGTGGAACTTGCTTAGATTGCTCTTCTTTGCACAGGAAAGATGCTTTTTCTTTTTTCTGCTTTACATCCTTTTTTGCTTCCTTTTTTCCTTCACTTCCCTTTTTCACTTGAGTAGTAGAGCAGTTTGGCTCTCCAGTTTGGAAAGAACACAATCCAACATACTATTCCTCAGTAACCAGGTATTTAGGACTTTGAGATCACTGGACGCTGACAGCTTTATGGACAGATGAGCAAAATGTCCATGTTCTTGATCAGAATGATTTCAGCAGCTGCTGTATTAGTTTTCAAACCTCAGAAACTGAAAGAAAAAGTTCAGTGATTTACAAACTTTATTAGTAATAGATCTCTTCCACTGGTAAAAAAAAAAACCCACACCAGAATTATTATGGGGGTTTGATTTGTTTATGATCTGTTGGCAGCTGCCGATGAGGTTTTACAGTGTGTCTGGAAATAATAGCACTGATGAGCAGAGTTAATTATGAGTGGGTTTAAAGCTCCTGCTGGAGGAAAACAAGTGTTTGGCACTTCATTCTTGTAAAACAGCAAAGGGAAGAAGCAAGGTTTTATTCTGTTACTTTTTTTTTTAATGTTGTGTTTGCTGGTGAAATGAGGGAAACTGTTAACATGCATTAAATTTGCATCTTCTGATGTGGACATCAGTTGTTCAACGACACCTGACTTGCAGTCAGTAAAAATAAAATTCTGTCTGCAGTTTAGAGGGAATGCATATGGTAGTATGTTGTCCGTCTCTCATTTTTTACAGGACAGTGATGTGGCTTGTGTGTTACCTGTGAAAATTCTTTGCAAGGATGAAACGGGACAATTCATTGATATTTCAGAACACCTTGTTAAAAAGGGTTTGGCTCTTAGAAAGAGAAGGTTTGGATGCTTTTCTTCTACATTCTTTCAGACTCTCATATTCACGTTGTGATGAGCTAATAATTAAAAATTTAGATTGTCTGTTACAGTGTATGTAGCAACAGAACTCTAGTGAACTTACTTGAATATAACATTAATTGTATCCATTGCGTGTCAGTTCTGTAAGTTGGTAGATGAGATATTTGGCAGCATTTAACAAGCATTTCCCATCTTTGTGATTGGTTTTTAACTTTGGTTATTTTATTCTTAAGTTCTTTATCAGTTAATATGTTGTTATGTTTTGATTGAATCTGCTAGAACTGATAAAGCTGGTGTGGCTTGCTTGGTGTCCAAGGAACATCTTACAGTACGCTCGGAGCAAGAGAACACACAGGTGGATGGTTGTAGTTCCAAAACCCCATGTGGAAGGACCAGTGCTGTTGCAGAGGAAAACATTGCTGTTTCAGAGAGTCAACAAAAATCCTGCAAAACATACAAGTCACTGCATTGTTCAGGAATGAATGAAGTTTATAAATCCCCCATTATTCCTGAAGCAAAAATATTTCAAGCCAGAGTGAGTTACGTTGGACGTGATGGAACTATTTATGTAATACCTAAAGCATTTGGTAAGTTTACAGGGAAGAAGATGCATTTATGTCTGTGAGTGGGATGGCTTTGGTGTACCAGAATGTGCTAGATGTGTGTTTCAGTACACATTTAGTGCCAGAGCACAGTTCAGGCTGGTTCCCTCTGGGGAGGGGAGAGGACGGGGGTTGTTGCTGGGCAGCAGCGAGCCCTTTGCCAGGACAGGGACAGGGCTTGAAATCTTAATATTTTCTCTTTGTATTGTTTGTAAAAATGCATTTTCATCTGTAAGATGCGGTGTCAGTCTGCAGTACCATCATAATCTATTGTGTTGTAGAGAAATGTTTCCATATGGGAACATGTATTTTTATTTATTTTTTTTTTCATTCTACAAGTACCTTTAACTATTAGATCATATCATAAAGCTTTGAAATTCAAAGTACAGCAACCCCACCTGCCCAAGAGTATATTTTTCTTGCAGTTGTTGCTGCATAGAGGAGGGTCTTCCTAGTCACCTATTTTTATTAGTTTATGGTGTCCTACCACTGTCTCTGGAAATGTGTTGTCTTGTTCGTAGAGAGGCTCTTGTATTAGTGCTGCCAAGGTGTCAGTTGCAAAATTTATAGGCCCTTCTTCTCTGAAGTTAGAATCCAGAATTACTAATGGCTTCACAACTGGAAATGCACTTTACTTTCCTGTTTTAGTTAGTAATTTGTTTGTGTTTATTAGATGTTGAATATACCTATTGTATCAGTGCTGGAAAATATTTTTTGGAGCAGCCCATGTATTTTATACTTAACACGTCTTCATCTGAATCTGATGGGTTTTTAGTGATTGAAATATTTTGAAGGGTTTTTGTTGTTTGGGTTTGTTGGTTTTTTTTTATTCCACCTTCCTCCAGAAACTGCACTAAACAAGTTGATGACTGAAATACAAAGTAATTTCAAATGCCTTGGTCTTCTGGAACCCTATTGCTGGAAAGTTGGAGAGGCTTGTGTTGTAAGAGGACCAGATACCACGTGGTATCGAGGTAAAGTTGTAGGAGTCAGTATTGGTACTGTCCAGGTAAGTTTGATTTTGTGGTTTGGGTGTATGCATGAACACATGTGAATATATGTGTTGGGGTTTTTTTAAAAAAAAAAAAAGGTTAAATAGTGTAATGCTTTAAAAGAAATTTAAGATCACACCTTTGTTTGTTCAGCTGACCAGACTATATCCAGATGCTTATTCTTCTTAAAACTGATAACTGTCCTGAATCTTACGTTTATTTTAAAGAGGAATTCTGTCTATCTATTTCAGTTGTCAGAATTTTTCACATTCTTTTTTTTTTGGTGGTGCTAAATATTCTTAAGTAAAAAGCTACCCTTGATCGCCTGTAAGTGTACTCTATTTTAGGTTTTTCTTCTTTTATCTTTATGATACAGGTTTAGCCTCCCCCACCCTATCTCCACCCAAAAAGTAGTGGCTGTTTTGAATTCTTTCTGCTGCACAGATACAGATCTCCTTTTTCCAATTAGCAGTTAGTCTTATCAGAACTCTCAAGTCTGCTTGTCTTTTTGAATGTAGATTTGCAAGTCCAACACTACTATTTTAGCCAACACTCTACTAATTTGAAGCTGCTGTAGATTGTTACACAAAATGTAGCATCTCTTGCAAGACGTTTAGAAACAGAACTTCTAATCTGCCACACCAGTTCTTTTTAATCCTTTATTTCCACTTTATCATATCACCTACTTATCAGCAAACTATTATTTTTTCCTTCACAAAAGTGAGTGCTGTAAACGAATGCTTTCTTTTATGAAACTTGACTCGCTTATTTCAGAAAATCTTTCATTCTTGTATAGGTACAGTACATAGACCATGGTTGCACAGAGAGAATTCCTCCGTTTCATCTGTATCCCACTACACTGTATACTGGTATTCCTCCATTTTGCATGCCATGTCAGCTCCACAAGATGGTACCAGTGAGTAATGGTCAATTTAAAGGTGTTTCAGTAGGTAGTTACTCAAATCACTACACGATTTAGTCATACAAAGGTTGAGACTAGTTGCTGGTGTTCTTTGTTGCCGCCGAGGATTCAGAGAATAGCTGGTGAGGATCACTTCAGCACAGCAGCCTTTTATCAGAAACAGTCACGTTGCTTTAGGAAGGAACCGTGCTTCAAGAGCAGTTATCACTGGAATTAAGTCTTCGTGAGAGAGGATGCTGCAGCAGTTGGCAAGATGATACATTGAAGTGGTAGTTCCTTTTGCAGTAGCAGCAACAAGTAGTAAGGTCTGGATTTCTTAATGCAAAATGGCCAGAAAACTGTAAATCTCCCAAGCCTTGCAAAAGTGTTTCTGTCATTCTGAACTCACTGTGTAGGAAACAGTCTGGTATGCGGAACTAATACAAGTGAATTTTCGTAGGGGATTTTGTTAGTAAGTAATTGGTACATAAGTAACATCACGTATCATCACGTCTTACTCAAATTGGGATGGTGCATGTAGTAAATGTGAATTACTGAAATTACTAACTTTTAAGCTAATTTTTAAAGACAGCTATTTTTGTGCTGGAAGCAGTTCAGCTGATTAAGACAGGCTTATAAACCCATGGGTTGGGAGGCAAACAGAAATTGCAGGGAATAAAAATATTTAAAGTATCCTGTGTCTTCTGTTAGGATGTCTGTCTGTTGTTACCTTTGAGAGTAATTCTGTATCTTTGGGTTACGCGTAAGATAACCGTGCACACGTACATTAATACGTCTGTAGTAAAGGCTAGACTTGGCAAGCAGCATCTCTTTCTAAACTCCTTCAACATCTGCAAGTTGCTGGTTGGATTTGTCACACAGCAAGTTTTAGTGTACCAAAGAGCAGATAATGTTTAAACGTTTATAAACGAATCAAACTAATGGCCTGTGTTTTTCAAGTAAGTTTCTCAATGAGAGACATGTATTTTCATTTTACTATGTTAAGAATATGAAGAGTAATACTTTTCAGCATCTCTGTGTGTGGGTTTCTTGCTTTTCACCAAATAGATTGGAAATTTTTGGCAACAGGATGCAGTAGATTGTCTTCAAGAACTACTTACAGATGAAGAGGTTGAAATACATGTTCAGGTAGCTCAATTTATTCATAGGTTAGAATGAGGCATTAAGAGTAATAGGAGTATAGTAGCAAATTTATTTCTTGGGCAAAACAAAATCCGAGACAAAAGTTTTTTCTCCTATGGCTTCATTATTGTTTGCAGACCTTAAATGTGTCCTTGACAGATGTTAAGACTTTTTGGTTCTGTTTTGTATTCTGTCATTCTGACAAGTAGCCTATGTACCAACAGCATAAAATTCAAATTCTAAAATTCTAAATTCAATTTTAAGTGGTTAAAATTTGGCATAATTAAGTACGGATGTGCTTAAACTAATATTAACATTATAGGGAAACACACAGTCTGCATTGTCTGAAAACCTGCAGTTCCAGATAGTTGAATTGTGAAAGAGAAGGGTTTATTGCTGCAAGAGCATACATGGGGTGATGTTTTTGTATTAGACTGAGTAGTCAGTGCTGCCAGAGATATATTCTCGTTTACATCATTAAGGGGTGTTAATAGCCATCGTTACCAGTTTTGTATCTTTGGGAATGGGTGTGGTGCACATAGCAATGCCAGGTTTGAATTTCATGGTCACTATTTCTAAAACCTCAGTCATGCTATTACTGTTACAATCGTATTTTGTGTTTTGCAAGTAGGAGTTACCAGATAACCCATCGGGCAAAGTGTCCATCAACCTGTATTTTGGTGGAATCTCACTTTCTTCCTTCATGGCATTTCTTAAGTTCTGTGTTGCTGAAGATTGTGAGGACATAGCAGAGCTGGTGAGTTGGTTTCTGTGTGTATCTGTATCTTTTACTATTGTTACACTGGCAAAAAGATTACTCAGTTCCTTGCTGTGACCTTTGATGTGTTATTTCTTATATTTCTGTATAGTTTTGCAATGTAAGCAGCAGTAAGGCTGAGTACACAGCTCTGTAGCCTAACAAGTGTAGATAGGATGTATTGATAAGATTTTTTGGAATAGCACATTGCCAGGAATTTGTTCGTGGACTCCCTACTGAATAGGCATTTCTTCATTTCTGCTTAAAGCCCACTTAGTTTTTGTGTTTCTCAGAAACTTCAAATAATATGAATAGAGTAATATTTTTATCACTTGAAGGGATTAGTTGTATGCAGCAGGAAGAAAGGGTCAGAATTTATTGTTTTATTTTGAAGTTATATATATGCAGTTGCTTCCCCCCCTTTTTTTTCTGAGTATAATGAAAACTGTTCATCAAGTAGATGTATAAAAATAAAATATATTTTAGAGAAATTGTACCTTTTGCTACGTATCATGCTGAAGTACACCAGAATAAAAGCTGTATTCATGACCTGTATGATCCAGCTGATCTGTATGCTATACATCCTTATAAAGGCATGATTTAATGTACTAAAGTTTATTTTGTCATGCACCAAATGAGCTAATGTCATGCAGAACTCAAACTGTAAAACACGTGGTTCTAGAAGAAGACACACTGGAGCATGCTGTGCTACTGAGACAGTATGGTTCTGTACTTTGCAAAATCTGTTACCTTTTGAGGGAGTAATAATTCTGGTGGCTAACAAGTTAAGTTATCCTTTGTCTTTTTCTGAAGGGATAACCTGTTCTGGCAAACTGCAGTAACACTGGGTGTGGTATTCAGGTTACTCTGTGCCAATTAGTTGCTATTAGTTTAAGTTTTCTTTAAAATATTTTCTTTCTTCAAAGGGAATTCCATATTTAGTGCACTTTTGAATTAACAGGAATCAAGTTGGCAAGTCAGTGTATTAGGACCATTTCAAATATGTATTCTTTGTATTTTGTAAATATTAACATGATGCTATCTTTTAGCTAAAGCTTTTTTAGAAACCAAATATTGAGAGAAAATGCTGATTAAGATCTTTTTCATCAAGAACACAGTGTTTACGTTACTACATAGCTCCTTGAAACAGAAATCATACCAGACCTAGTTTCCATTTGCTTACCAAATACGGTGCTTGACTAACGTCTTTCTTGGTCTAGGAGCTACTTGAAGGAAACATTCCTGTTCTGCCTTCATATGCGTTGCCACCACTACCTGTCCCAGGAGATTCCTTTCCTGTTACAGTTACCCATTTGGTGTCCCCTCAGGAGGTACGTTTTGTAAACATCGCAGAGGCTGGAGACAGGAAATGTTGCAGTCCCAGTTTGCTGGTGAAAACGAAATCATGGCTGACAATTTTACGTTGTATGAAAAAGTATTAATGAGGTTTCCAAATGTGACCGAGTTATTGGTGCAGATGGTTGTGCAGCGCAACTCTCTGAATGACCTCTTACTTAAAATACCCTCTTGAGTGGGGGTGCAGAAATAAATACTGCCTATTTCCTTAAAAAAAAAAAAATTTTAAGAATCATGATAGTACACCTTAGTACTTACCCTTGGTAATAAGCAAATAGGTCGTTGGGTTTTAACTTGGCGGAACAATAATGACTGATCTCTCTTCTCCAAAAATTAAACTGGAACATTGTATAGTAATGTGAACGTTTTGGGCCTGTTACAGTTGTATTTTACTGTCTTTGATCAATGATTGATCATGGATTTTTGGGTAAACTACTCAGCTTCCCTCTAGTAGCCTCCCAGGCAAAAGGCAGACTGTAATGTTCATTGATCAAATGAAAACATTCCTGTGTGGATTTTGAATGTTAAATGATGAAATAGGGCCACAGGAAGCAGTGAGAATCTGATCGTGTTATGAAATCTAACATCTTGCAAGTGGATTGATTTTTACTGAAGTACTTGTGTTGTTTCAGTAAATCTGTAGAACAACAGATTTTAAAGTACTGAAGTGATTACTTTAAATTCAGCATCATGGTCTTAATAAAAATTAACCCCACTAATTCCCTTGAGTGTACATATCTCCTTTTGAAGATGCGTAGTGCACGTGTCCATTAGTACGTTGTATAGTGTAGATGATCCACTATTGATTTTTCAGGTAGGCAGCAAGGAAGTTGCACCATCCCTGGAGATATTGAAAAGTTGTGTAGATGAGGTGGTTAGGGACATGGTTTACTGGTGGACCTGGTGTCTCTAGGATAATGACTGGACTCAGTGATCTTAAAGGTCTTTTACAACACAAGATGTTTTCACTTGTGTGATTTTTTTAGTGTGCGGCCGTTTCGACTAAATTCAAGATGGAAATGTTTGGGTATCTTAGAAAAGGACTTTTCTTAAATTATGTATTCTGCTTCCTCTCTTACAGGAGAAGCATTATAATGACTATTTTTTGGTTCCTCTTGTGCAATTGATTTGAACTTTTGCTTTTGGTCATGGTATAAAATTGTAAACCCTAGATCTTCTTTGGGCACTTACAGATGACAGTAGCAGTTGTATGGTGGAGTTACAGCTTGCTTGTAGTGGGTACAAACTAGAAAATGTAAATTAATTTTCTTCCTGGTTAATGAATTACAATGCTGAGTTTAGAAAAAAATAATGTGCTCATTAATTTGTTTTGGACTACCAGTAGAATATCATAATGTTCTGAGATGGCACTGTTTGTTTGATTTTTATAAAAAGGGCACATCAGTTAAAAGCTGTTATGTAGATTTTAATTCACCTATGCATGTTGTTTAAACTTCCATTTCCTTGACCTACAGCGTTCTACCAATGACCTGGTTATAAATTAGGTGAATTTCAGAAGTTCTTCTTTCATTAACTTCAATCTTTAGTTTGATATTATGAAGTGAGATTATTTACCAAGTAGCAGGAGGGAGGAATCCTAATATGACACAGCTGTATGGGTATGTCTGTATGGGTATATTCTCCAGGGTGTGCATTCCTTTCATTCTTTCTTCTTGACATTAAAATGTGTTGTTAATAACTCATGACTCTCTCCTGCATTTGGAGAAAAATTGTGTAAATATGAAATTTGCAAGTTGAGGAAAGGGGAGCAAGGACGTGCTGAACTTTCTGAAGATGGGAACAAGTAATCTTCTAATAAACCTTGATCACTCATGGAATTTGAAGCTTCTAAGTCGTCTGCAAAAACTGTACTATTAGAGCCTTTTCTTTGAGTAGGTGTATATTTGCCTTACGAAGCCGTCTGCAGCAGAGGGAGATGCCAACTGTGACTTGATGTTGGAGAGCCTTGACGAAGCTCTGAGGTGGTGTAATAAAATTGTGGCGTGTCTTCCTCTTCTAACACACTTCCAACCAGGTATATTAGCATGACTCACCTTTGCCTTGTGTGGGTATACAAAAAGCCTGAAATTCTTTTTGGATAATAGGAATAATTACATTTCTATGTATTTTTAAAGACTTCTGGGTAGTAAGGAGTGACATTATACTATAATTGTATGATTTTGCTTTTTATGAAATTGAGACTTCTTTTTGATTCTTCTCCACTGGAAAATGATGAAAAGAACATCTAATGCCTGTTAAAGTTGATGAACTGAGTTGAAACTGTGTATGGCAGTAGTAAAACTTTCCCTTAAGGTGACTCACGGAAGCAGTAACTATGAAAATCTTGCTATTAAATATTCAAACACATAAGTTACATACAGAAAATCGTGTTACCAAAAGTTAGAAATTCTGTGAACCCTAAAGAGCATCACTTCACTTTAATTCTGGATTTTTCCCTTTAGGCAAATGATTGTCTTTAATTTAGGCCCAGCAGCTGTGGACGAGAGTATTAACATAAAGAGAATTAACAATGGATATAAGCTGGAGCATAGGAGGTTCCACAAAAATATTAGAAAAAACTTCTTCACTGTGAGGGTGACAGAGCACTGGCACAGGCTGCCCAGGGAGGTTGTGGAGTCTCCTTCTCTGGAGACATTCAAAACCTGCCTGGACACGTTCCTGTGTGACCTACTCTGGGTGATCCTGCTCTGGCAGGGGGGCTGGACTAGATGATCTTTTGAGGTCCCTTCCAACCCCTGACATTCTGTGATTCTGTGTGAGTCTTTGATAAGATGTATGTTAAAAGTTCGGATCACTGTCTTTACCAAGCAATGTTTTGTTAATTCTCATCATTGCCATGTGAGGTGGAGAAGCTTGACTTAAATTGCACACTAATGGTTGTGGAGTTCGGAGAGAAGTGTAGGATGCATAGAACGAAATAGTGGCATGAAGTAGAGAACGAAAAAGAAAGTTAATCTCTGTCACAAAGTAAAATGGATTTTCAAGTTTGATTAGTTTGTACTGCACTTTGAGTATATCCTGAGGTTTGTTTTGCATTGACTTTTTTCTTCTTTTACAGAAATGCCTTGCCTTGTAGAATACCAGGATGGTTTATGGTATAGAGCAAAGGTCCTCTCTGTTAAAGAATCAGACCCTGTTAAGACCGTGGTTCAATTTGTTGACTATGGTAATTTTGCAGTTGTCCCAACAAGCAGGTAAATATATAAGAAAAAAGTACATGCAAAATGTCTCCGTGTGTATATAAAATATATACTTATAAGTGTACATATTTTTACACTTAGTAATATTTATTTTCATGTAACTATACATGTATTTGTCATAATTTAGCATTAGATTTCAGTTGAAGAGAAAGTTGGTTGGCCACCTGAATAATTTCTACCTGCAGGGAATGGAGTTGTACACCTACATTTCTTTCTCAAGTTGTTCTAAGAAGCTCATTATTGTAATACCGGATTTCTCCACCATCTTTGCATTACTTAACCTGTGAAGTAGGCTCAGGTTAATAATCTGCTTACAAGAAGCTTACACAAAATAGCAACTGCGCCCTCCAGGTGTACAAACAGATCCTCGAATCCTGTGCGGCTGCAGTGTGCATGGAAGGTAGCTGGGGAGTAGAATAAGGGAGTGTCTGAGTAGGACATACCCCACACTGCTTTTGTGTAGAAGAGAAGTTCTAATCCCTGTGTTCTAATCCTGGTGCTGAGCTGCTCTAGGAACTTCTGCTATGACACAGATGTCAGCTAAGCATCTCAAACACCCCAGGCTTTTAGGGTCTCCTAAGCTTGTCTTAATTTTCTCTCTCAAAGCCCTGCTTAATCACATCGATTTGCTCTTGAACTCACTGGGGAATCTGCAAGTTTTTGCTGAAGACGAGGCAAAATGGGGATTTGAACAGATTTCCTGCTTCAGACTATTGCGGTCATGGGAGAGAGTGTGTGTTTTACTTAGGGTTGCATTTCTGCATGCCCTTGCTTCTGGGATAGAAAGATAGAAGAATGGGGAGATAAAACTAGGGCTGTTGTTTCCAGTAGTGTGTCCAGAACACATCCAAGCATGAAGCACTTGAGACCACAAAGGTCTGGGTGATTTTCCAGACCCAGGTTTGGAGCCTACATTGTGATGACTTGCGCTTGCATTCCTGTGCTCAAATCTGTACTGGGCACCGTAATGGGGAGCCAGCATGCCCAGAGGACTGAGAGAGGTGTGTGATGCTCGCCTGCTTCCTGGTCCTTACTGTGCTGAAGTCCTGTGGAGGGATTGGCCCTACCCAGTGAATTGTTCAGTCTGACACCAGCACATTATTGTGGAGCTGAGACTCTGATCCCAGTTTCCACACAACAAACCTACTGCGTGAACCATTAGGCTGTTCTTATGTCCATGCTGACAGTTTAGCTCAACAGGCTGGATTGCTGGTGACAAGCGTTTTTCATTTTTGGTTTAGATTGCGTCACATACCTTATTACCTGCTGAAGTATCCTGTTCAGGCAGTACGAGCAATGTTGGCTGGATTTAAACCTGCTCTATCAGACAAAAACGTGGAAAGACTTCCTTATCGCCCAGAATGGAGTATGAAAGCACTGTGGGCTATGATGGAGTGTCTTGAAGGAAGACAGCTCTCTGCTTCCATGCTTGTGAGAAACATTTTCCTTTTTTTCTCCTAGGTCTTGAGTTTGCCTAAAATTCCTACTAGCACTCTGAGTGTAATTTCTGAGTGTTTGACTCTCAACCCTCATAATGTAAAATACTGAACCATTTACCACAAAGGAATCCTGTGGTGCTCTTCTTAATTCTGCAAACAAAATGTTTTATGAGTGTTTCTGTTGTTTTTAAACCAGTTTCCTTTACTTAACATAAATCATAGAATCATAGAATAATTTGGGTTGGAAGTGACCTCAAATATTATCTAGTTCCAGCCCCTCTGCCATGGCAGGGACACCCCTCACTAGATCAGTTGCTCAAGGCTCCATCCAGCCTGGCCTTGAACACCTCCAGGGATGGAGCATCCACAACCTCCCTGGGCAACCTGTTCCAGTGCCTCACCACCCTCAGGGTAAAGAACTTCTTCCTTGGATCTAGTCTAAACCTACGCTCCTGTAGCTTTCACTCATAGCCCCTCATCCTATTGCTACAGGCCCTTGTAGAAACTCCCTCCCCAGCCTTCTTGTAGGCCCCTTCAGGTACTGGAAGGCTGCTGTAAGGTCTCCCTGGAGCCTTCGCTTTTCCAGGCTGAACAAGCCCAACTCTCAGCCTTTCCCCATAGGAGAGGTGTTCCAGCTCTCTGACTGTCTTGGTAGCCCTCCTCTGGACTGGCTCCAACAGCACCATGTCTTTCTTATGTTGGGGGTTCCAGAGTTGGATGCAGTATTCCGGGTGCGGTCTCACAAGGGTAGAGCAGAGGGGCAGAATCACCTCCCTTGACCTGCTGGTCACACATCTCTTGATGCATCCCAGGATATGGTTGGCTTTTTGTATTTGTGTAGTCACAGTTCCATTTAGACAGTGAGTATAGCCAGTAAAGTAATCTGTTGCTTGAGATTTAAATCTGTTACTCTCAAAACTGTTGTTAACTTGTGGTTTTCAGGCTCTTTCACCAGAGGTCACCATTTGTTTGTATGATGATGACAAAAATCTAATTCATATGAAACTGATAGAAATGGGACTTGCAGATTTGGATGAGTGACATGTAAGTGCGATGCATATGAACTACACATTCATACTGCTTTGAAGGTATTTTCAGAAGTTTTAAGCAAAGTCTAAACTGTCAGCAGTGTTGACAGCTTAGAATTTACTTTTTATAAAGAATGCTTTCTGTCCACACTTGCACTCTTTTATTAAAAGAGTTTTATTAACAAAACGCTGTTACAATTGAGTTTCTATATGTACACATATTACTGAAGCCCACTGTATAACTTTAAGAACCAGCAGCTACTGAAGCAAAGAGCCTTAGGGCAGTGTAACAAAGAACTTTTGTTGTCTGTAACTGAAAAAGGTAACTTGATCTGTGGCAGTACTGTGCCCAAACAATAAAAACTGTTTTCTTTCATTTTCAGCATTTGACCTCCATGTCCTGTGCTGGTTGGTCTCAGGCAGATCCATGATAACATATGGATGACATTTAGTCAAAAGATGGACTATTTTAAATGAAAAGCTTTACAGTATGTGTTGTCTACAGAGAATAGTGGAGACGTGGAATTTCAAGTTCTTGGCCAACTCTACATTAAGTAGTCATTGTTCCTCTCATTTGATAAGCACTCTTCTAATCAATAGTTACAGATAACATTCCCAGTGCTTTTGAATCTTGAAATGTTCACTTCTCAGTCTGACATTAGAGCCTTAAGCATTGTTCTGTGATATCTTTTTCGTAAGAATAGGTGGAATTAATGTACAATAGTAAAGAAACAGATAAAAACCTGATGCTGGGCAGGGTATTCCAGTATCTTGTTAGAAGACTTTGAGGGAAGATTTTGGTTTTATTGCTGATGTAACTCTTGTTTATGTTTCAGGCATATTTGGTGTCAGACTTCTCCAATACCAAAGTCTGAAGCTGGGAGTGAACAGTTGGGGGTGGGGGAGTGTTACTGTCTTTGTTCTGGAACATGTTTGCATTGCTGCTGTGTTGTCTGTGTTCAGTCATGAGGTTTTTTTCAGTCAAGTGTTTTGGGTGTCCTTGCATGTGCAGTGTTCACTTGAAATCGTTGGAATAAACAGGAGCTTGCTCAGTACACAGCTGAAAGCTTGTTTTCCTTTACTGCTAGAGCAAGTTAACGTTTCTTTTGGTGACTCTTACTGTACTAGTGCAGTGTATCCTTCACATGCAGTCTCCCCACAGAGAATTTTATCTAGATTATCAAGGGAAAAAAAATGCACAGTGAGGACTCCACGTCTCTGGGCAACCAGTCCCAGCAGTCAGTAACGCTCACAGTAAAATGCGTTTCTTGGTGTTCAGAGGGAATCCTCCTGTGTTTTGGTTTGTGCCCACATAACAGCTGCTTTTTAGGATTGCCAGGACCTGCCCCTCCACCCCACCAAGCAACTTCTAGTTGTGAGTGAGCGTAGTTCCCGCTACTGCAAGTAGCATACTTGAGTAAAAAAGGGGCACAGGAACTACAGAGCTTGCCTGCACTGAGGAGGGGAGGAGACAAGGCAATGAAACAAATTTTTCAGCCTCGTCCGCAATGGAGGGTCAGAGCAAACACTCCTGCAGAACCACTTCACTTGCAGATGCCACAGAACTTTAAAAGACAAGTCAGCTTAGAAATGCCTGTTAGGTGGAAGGATGGGATGGGATGACATTTGCTGATTTCTGGCTTCCTCTCACATTTCTAAGTAGCTTGGGGCATTAAACTATTCCACATCTCACTTGTCCTAGCCTCAGGAATATGAAGGAGCAGTTTAAGAAAAGACTTCAGGGTCTGCTAATGCTGTTGCCTCTTAACTCTGAGATGAAGAAAAATAAGATTGTGAGGGAAGAATACTTTAAGGCAGCTAACTGGAAAGGAATACTGCCATGTGTTTACTCTTGTAAACTCATCTGGCCTTCTGCTGTATTTCACCACAGCAGGAGTTCCAACAGCATAACTTTTTACTTGGATTGAAAAAAATCTTTTTTCTTAGGTGTCTAAAACAAGCTATAGCTGTTTAATAAATTTTCACTGAATGCCAAGGATTTAAAAAAAAAATCATCACAAACCACCCTTTAAACTACATGTGATAAATTATTGCATCAATAGACTGCTGCTTAAAAGTAGAAATGGGAGAGTTCTGCTGTATTAACACGCACTGAAAATAAATTTATTTCAGGAAAACTATAAACACTATATACACAACAAGTTTAAAGGGGTTTCTCTTGTTTACAGGAATATACATTAGTTTTTCTGAAGTGCAAACGCTTTCACCAGTTTTGACATGAGCTACACCTTGGTGTCCATGATAATATTACCATCCTTGTCCTTTACTCTTACTCTCCCAGAGACGTATTTTGTTTCCTGCTGTCCATTCACATACACAGTCTTGACGGTACCATCAGGATATTCCCGTCTCTTGAACTGTGACGTGTGTAGTTCTCTCTGGCCATTATTGAACTCTATAGTTTTGCTTCCATCTCTGCATTAAATAAATGTATACAAGTATTTAAAAAAAAACACAAAAAAAACAGGTTATACATAGGCTTAAGCAAAATCTCAAAACATTAAAAATATGCAATCCTAAATTAAGAAGAACTTAATATTTGTGAAAAGCCTGTTGTGTTAAATATCATCTGAGCTGGTTGGTACTCAAAAATCTGTTTCTGTAAAACAGATCTGACTTCTTTATGCTTCAGAGCCTGTACCACAGCTCCTCTGCACTAATCTATTGCTGCAGTAATCCAGGAAGTTTAAAACTTCATGTTTGAGCGCTATCAGTCATAAGCCAGACCTGCTTGCTGCACCAGCTAGGTTCTCAGGTGTTCTCCAGAATAATGCACAAATTAGAAAAATCTCGTGGGATAGGATATGAGAAAATACACACACACATGCAGCCTTTGTATCGCCTCCATCCTACAAAAAAAAAAACTTAAAAACCCACAAAATTCCCATGTTATAGTGAAACGTAAACTTCTAGAAACAGATCAGTCACCACATGCTGCCTCTGTTAGCAAACCTTGACTGCTCCCTTCCCACCAACAGGACCCTGGGGTACCCAAAAAGGTAAAGCTTACCGCTGAACACGAACAATAGTGCCATCTGGAAAGATACTTTCTTCTTGCCCATCCGTGAATAAATTTTTAACAGTTTGATCAGGGAAGGTGATTTCTTTCTTGCCATCAGGATAATGCTTCTCTGAAATGTATGTTGAGACATGTTTACTACATAAATACAGGTGGTGTGCATATATATGGGCAGCAAATTTGAGGGTCAGTTGGGTTGGATGATTTCTTTACCTATTTGTCCATTTGAAAACTGCAAGACCTCTAAGCCATCAGCGTATGTAGTATGTGTAGTCTTAGCATCAGCATAATAATAAATCTGCAGAAAACAGTTCAGATTTCAACATAACCAGTGAGGTATTTTATATGCCTCAGCCCTGGAGGTGTTCAAGGCCAGGCTGGATGGGGCTTTGAGCAACTTGGTCTAGAGGGAAGTGTCCCTGCCCATGGTGGGGGGCGTTGGAACTAGATGATCTTTAAGGTCCCTCCCAACGCAAACCATTCTGTGATTCTGTAATTCTGTGTGTGTGCACATGTGCACCTAAATGCATATTTACAGAAGAATGCAGAAGATGTAGGATACGTACCACTGTTTGATCAGGCATAACCTGCTTCACATCCCCGTTGAAGAAAGTTATAGTTATGGTCTTCCCATCAGAACCCACTTTCTTCCATGTCCCATTGGGGAAAAATATGAGATGAGAGCCATTTTTCAAAACCTTCTCAACCTAATAAATACATTAGACAAGTCAGTACTGAGCCATCAACACATGCTTGTTCCTCTTCCGCAACAGTTGCCTTGTGAAATTTCAGAGTGCCAAGCTCTCATTTTACCTTCCCATCAGGATGAGCAGTTTCTGTCTGTATCTCTTCACTGTCGCTGTGAGCAGGTGACAGTGACACCTGAGCTTCATTGGGAGAGGTGTCCTGAAATGACAACAGTAATCTAAGCATAAACTCAAACTGAGCTTTGTCTTTAAACACGGGGTTTTTTCCCTAGGCCGACAGGTTATTTTAGGAAAGAAGCAAGGGAAGAAAAGTATAGGAAGCATAAACACAATCCGGGTTTTACGCAGCTCCTGGTATAATTCAAGTGGTGATACAGACTGAGCCTCAGCAACAACAGGTTGTTGTGGTCAGCTGTAGGCTGGACTGAAGTGGAATTCAGTGGTGGGTGTAGCACGTGCCCAACTGCCTGAAGTCAGTCATCCATACCAAGGTATGAAACAGTTTCGGAAAGCCTGAATGCTACTTACAGCAATTAATGCAAGAATTAATTCAGCTGTTTGCAAGATGCTTGCAGTTACCCCACACAGAGCATATGAAGAGCCCTCTCCTCCCCGCTCTCTCAAAAGGTAAAAACATTTTGCAGAATTCGAGGGAGCGAGAGATTATTTTCTCTCCTCAGCCAAAGAATCTTGCAGCTACTAGACACAGGTAAAACACTCTGCATTTACTACACAGCCCTTTTCTGGTATGACAATAAAACTGCAATTGAAGAACATAAGAAGGTGAGTCAACAGCTTCACCAGTCACCCTCCAGATACTTATTTAAGTATATATTTGTTTATTTTAGGTTTTTTCCTCCCCCTTAAAAAAAAGATAAATAAATCAAGATTCAGGACTTATTACCATAAAAGGCCCAGAAGAATTCTCTAGTGCTGTCACTGCCTCAGCATTGTTTCTGTCACTAGCAGGTCCTGCTGCAGGTGTTCTGGAAAGTTTTCCTGCATGTAACACAGTTAATTTGGACAGTGAAACTGAAGTACAGTTCAGGTGTTACGGTTACATATGAGGTCAGACTGTACAGGACAGCTACAGTTCTTAAGTGCAGTAGAAACTGGAAGCAGTACATTTACAAGAAGAATCAGCATAAAGCCAGCTCCCTCAGATAATATCATTGCTTCATGTGTCAGCAAGAAGCTACAAGTGAGGAATCACTGCGACAGGCAAAATACTTGCACTTTCCTATTTCATCTCTGTAGATTTACAAA